TGGCTGACTGGGTCTGAGCCTTTCTTCTCATTGTCAGAAAGCCCCTTCTGTTGTGCTGCTGGCTCTTTGTGAACCACTTCCAGCTGGGAGACTTCTTCAGATGCAAGGATTTTACACTCTCCTTTCCGACTGATAATCAAGAGTTTGTGCAGCTCTTTCAGGGCTGATGCTAGAGAGAAACACGGCTCTTCTAAAGGTCTTCCTGGGTCCATGTCCAGCTGATGGATGCCTGAGGGGGAAGAGCTGTCTTCAGCTGCTGAATTAGACAACTCATTATACTTTGCAGGAATTTCACTGGTCCTTTTAGATTGTGGGACATCACTGGTGGAAAGTGGATCACTCAAGGAGGATGCAGACTTCAGCAGCTCCACCTCCATAGAAACGGCGTCCTTCTCAGCCTGCTGCTTCTGCTCACTTGCTGAGCTGTGTGCTTCAGCTACAGACTGCTCAACTACATCTATTTCCATGAAGGCTTCCGTATGCATACAGCTACGGGAGGCTGACATTTGGATACTCCCTTTTGCACAGGAAAGGCCTGCTTTCTCCAGTCCATCTCCTCTTGTTTCCATAGGAGGATCTTCTGGCTGGCTGGCTTCTTCCACAACAGGTTTCTCAATGCCACCAACACGACAAGGAGGTTCTGGGTCAGTTGTCTCAGTTTGCTTCTCCAGATGTTCCTTCTCTGGTTCTTTGCATATCTGATGGTCTATGGGAAGCTCATCCTTTTGCTCCTGTTCTGCAGACAGACATATATCTTTATTTTGCCCATGCTTAGCAGCGGTGTCAGCCAAACTATTTTCTTTTGTCACTTCCAAAGGACGTTCCTGACCACGGTCTTGTTCTTCAGCTTTACATTCCTTTAGACTGTCAGCAATAAATGTTTCTTTGAGTGTCTTCTGTGAAAGGCAAGCTGGATTGCAACAGGTTACCTCCCCTGTCTGGGGAGAAAGGTCGTTATTTGCCAAGGAAGCGTTATTGGACAGATGCTGTAATAAGAGAGGATGTTCTTTTTCTGGGGTTATCTGGCATTCAGTTGAAGACTCAAAAGACTTGACGGCTCTAGGATCAATGGGCTTTGCGAGGTTAGATTTGGATGAGCAAATTGAAGCAGGGGCAGAGACAGAACGATCAAGTAATTGATTTGTGGGATTACAGATCTTGGAATTTAGTCCCAAAGACTGGACTGGATTTTGAAACCCATCAGAAGCTGGTAATGAGGGCATTTCCAGTGAGGTAGTTTCTTTGTCACTATTCTCTAACAGAAGATGGAAAGAAAGAAGTAGTCAGGACACATGAGAACCAGTTTTCACTGTCGTACCAAAAATTCATAAACCAATGGCTATAAATACCTGGTCTGTGGCCCACTCCAGCTGCAGTAAACACACACTACATGCATCAAGGCTTCTGACGTTCTGTTTGGATTAGGAAACAAACACACCAAACTTGTGTTAGTGTTCAGAGCACACCACATGCACGGTTATAATCCTGCGACCTCGCAGCTCCCCTCCCAACTGTCCATCAAGACAGTGTACAAACAGCAGGAGCTCCTCACGTTCACTGCCTTCCAGAAGGGGTTCTGCCTGGGAAATTTGTTACTTCAAAAAAATAACTCTGCTGGAGAACAATTTAAAGGCTGTTCTGTACTATCTACACAGCAGAGTGGTCCGTGGGTGATACTACAGGCTTGATAAAATATATGCAGCACAAGGTATGTGTATGGCACCATACTGGTTTGTTCTCCGTACAGCTGAAGATATTCAGCAGCCACATTTCAGGAAAATGAGAATTAAGAGGGCATCACAATTCTTGGACTGTGCTCCCAGCAGCTATGGCCTTGCAATGGCTAGTGTCATCACAGGCAAAAGGTGGCAAACACCAGCTTGCTACAAAAGGGAAGCATAAAGATCTTTGGGATGGAAGGCAGAAATCCCCAAAAAGAACTGCTGCCTGAGGCCGAGAAGAGCAAAGCAAAGGAAGGGACAGCCAGAAGTCAAACCCAGCTCACTGTTTCCTTCTCCACACAGAGAACAGATGAATTGCACATCTCTATCAGTAGCACCAAACACTGGGTCTTGTTATCAGGATGGTAACGATAAATAAGTTCACTTATCTTGCTTATAGTCTAATCTTGCTAATATATCAGCTCTCATGTTCTCGTTAAATGTCTAACATGACCTTTGCTCTAAGAGTGTCTGTTCTTCCATTAAAGCCCTACTCTGTCCAGTGTCAGATATCCAAATAGCAATCGAGATTTTGTGCTGCATGATTTGTTGCATTAGTTCCCTTTCCCTAGGCCTCCAAACTTAGCGGTCTTAAAGATATACCACTGTTTTACCGTAAGTCTTTCTCTTTTTACAGATACCCAGGTGTACTGGGACACAGCTAACTCTGCTCATGTGTATAGCCAGGATTTCCTTTAAGTTCCACACCATGGAAGGTGTCTGCCTTTTTCACCTCAGCTACTTGTTTCTTTTATTCTTCGTTAAATAAAAATGGTGCACTACATGCTGCGATACCACACCTCTGATCGATACACTTTGGTATAAAATACGGCAGCCGTTGCACAGAGCAATCCTGTCTGTTGGCTGCACATCTGGTCTTAACGCAGCTGCAACAACTTGGCGATGCTGGAGTATTAAAAAGCCAGAATTATCCTGTAGATGTTCAGACTGCTCATCTTTCCTAAGGGTGGCAAAGAGGCTTGTGACACAGGATATGGATGAAAACTGGAGGGATCTTTTTCTGTTTCTATGTGGTAGGATTGCGTTCACACTCTCTGCTCCCAAGCCAATCCTTTAGAGAGGATGCAGAACCATCTTTTGACTCAGTGGATAGGTAGTAAGGGTCTTATCGGTCAAACACATCAGGGATTTAGACAGCAGCAGTAGCTGGTATTCTGCCAAGCACTCCTCAGCGTCATCCTTCCGAGACACACTGTCATCCTCCTCCCAGGGCATCTACAGCAGCCAAATCCCAGCCCCGTCATGGATATCGATCCAGCTAACACCCGGAACAAACTCTTCTCCACAAAGTGCACCATCAGGGATAAATTCCTCTCTCTGTTAGGAAAAGCCTGAGTTGTGTATGTGGTGGCAGTGCCTTTCTTGTATCCAGGCTGTCTGGATGAAAAGCTGTATATGGGGTAAACTACCTGGATACACTTCCTCATAAAGCAACTCTAGTTTTGCTGCCAGTTTTGTAAATCCTCCACAATCACCAACTTTCCCCGTGGCGGTGGAAAACACTGCATATTGGCAGAAAAGAGCAAGCTCTCAGGCATAAGTGAAGCAGACGTGGAGGATCTAGATCGCAGTAAAACATACCAGGGCTCCACTACCACCTCGGATGCCTTGCCGTAGGTGTTGAAACACCAGCGAGTCAGCTGACAGAAATCATGAGGCTCGCTAAAGTGGGCTTCGGGGGATCAAATAAAGCTCAAGAATAATCCAGGTGCATTCAAAATGAGAACTTTAATAGCCTACAGATGTACGCAGCGATTTGTGTTGTACCATCTACCAGAAAGCAGCAAAAGTTCAAGCTGTTATAAAAGAACACAAGCCTTGCGGGGAGCTGAGCTTCCTCGGTGCTGCATTATGTGCTCTCCCTCTCCAGTTTCCTGTTCTTTCACTTGGTTTTCCTGGTACCATCTAGCAGCAGCTAATAGTTTTGGAAGAGAGGAAGAGGGTATACATTAATATTCTGACATCTTATATAGCTTGTGAGCCAGAGGCTTGTAATATGTCTAAGACTTACACACAGTCAATCTAAACAAGACCTACCTTAGTTTTGTGCACAGGTGTTCTACAAGCATTAAGTGAATACACAAAATGGATTTCCTATTCTTATAAATCTTTTACATTCCTCTAGGGCTCAGCATCAATGGAGAACAGTAGACTGCTGATTACTCTGAACAAAGCCACGTGGTCTTTAGAACTGTATTGGTACATAAGCAGCTTTGATTTAAGTCATTTTAAGCGCTTTTCATTTTAAAGCACTTGACTAAAATGCTTTTATTGTAAAAACTCATATATTTTGGGCCGAGGTTTGCTTTTTATTTGACCCTTTCAGCAGAGAACTTAGTCCAACCAACTATGATGCCTACAAAGTCTCATCCGAAATGGAGAGATACTGCAAAAACCAACCCAAGCTTCATCAGGCTCAAAGTCTTAACAGGAAAAGAACTAATATTTACATCTACGCATTTTCTCTGCCAGGTTATGTGAAAAGATATGAGCCCAAGCTACTGAGTCTGACCTTTAGCTATGTCATAACCTGACAAGGACAAGGTCAAATCTACGTTTGTGCTTCTCTCTACTTGCTGCAACTTAAGTTAATAAGCATTCAAATTTGGCTTTAAAAAACAAAACATGCAAACCATTTCTTGCTGATTCATTAAAGCCAGGCCTTCCTCTTGAGGTTTTTATGTCTCTGGAAAACTTAGATTCTTAGAATGGAAGAAAATTGATCAAAGGGACTAAAAGTGCAGTCTTGTGCTCCCCTCAATGTAAACAACTTTGTTGTTTGCAAGAAAGTCACTGCTTATGCTTTGGACTATCAAGCAGCAATTGGGAAGTCTTAAAGAAAAATTTCAGTGTTAAAGAAAAATGTCAGTGCATTACAACTGGTTATTAAACATAGCTATATAATATGTAATATTATTTTATTATATATATTAATATATACATTTAACTCTGGTTATGGCACTTCAAGTTTAAATATGGGCATGCTAGAGGCTTAAAGAATCTGCAATAAAAATGTTGAAGAAATCAACTTTATCAGCTTAAACATGACCTGGCAAAGAGTTTTGCACGTGTGTGGGAAGCAGAATCTTACTGCCTGCTTTCAGAGGAACAATTAGCAGTAAAACTCAAAAGTCTCTGTAAAACACTTGCATATAAAATGTTATCTTTAAAAGTTTTGGAAAAGATCTAAGGAATACGCTTTGTGAGGTACTCACAGCTTCACTGTAATAGCGGGGAAAAAAAGAATGAAGCTTTCCTTTAGTCAAAAGCATATGCTGAAGTTAAGGGAGGAGTTAAACAGAAAATCTGAGTTTCAGACAGTTTGGCTCATTGCTCAGCTTTCAGCTATTTTGGCATCTCCACTTAACTAAATTTTGCAGCTACCAAAATCTTCCATAGCCCAGTCAGTCTGCATTTGTGCAGCTTATGGATTCCAGAGGCACGGGGAATAAAACCTATGGGGAGGGTGAAAATTCTCTTTGCAAATCACATTTAAGGCTGATGATAGACATTAGGATGTGAATTCAGCTGCTTCTTTTGAAATGTGGAGCAACAGTAATCTTCAGTAAGAGAAGCAATTCACCTTCCAAGGGCACAAGCCCCGTTCTAAGGAAAAATTGCTGAAATAGTACTATTTGTAAAAATTATCATGAACTTTTGTCCAGAGATTTGTAGTACAGCTGCTCTATTTTTATATGGTGCAGCTATTAAAAACAGGATTTGCAGAAGCCTCCACAAAGCTGTCCTTACACGAGGCTGCTAATATCACACAACCAAACCATGTCCCTGACTAGGCACTACAACTCAATCCAGGTGAACGAGTGCCAGAGACAACCATTTATCTCCACACCTTTGAAGTCCAAGAAACCAGAGTGGGTAGGAAGTTGCAAGGAGGGCACAAATCAAACAGCAAGCATGCCTTCATGCAGACAGATTTTGCTGTACAGAAAGGAAGAGAGAAGTGCAGTTAGAGGCCACGAGCAAGAATAAAGCCCCTTTCTCTCCACCGTTTACTCGCTGATGCTGCATTAGACTGTATCTCCTAGGAGCTGAGAAGGGGGACTGCTGACAGACATCCTGATACACAGCAAGAAAACTATGCACGTTAGTATTTCAACTGGGCTCCTCCTGGTACCTGCTTCCTCTACGGACTTCTGTATTGCTTCTGCTAGTTCCTGGTCTGCAATCTCCTCCGGCCGCACGTCTTCCCGCCCGGTCCCGTAAGCCAGCCGGGCACACTCTGGGAGCTCGCCCTCCGGGAGGAAAGTGGTCTGCGAGCCAGTCGTGCCAATCACTAGTACATTCTTCTTGAGATCAATCGAACACTGTGAAAGAGCATCAAGACATCAGGGGCCTGCGTAAGAGCCAGTCAATTCCCGGAGAAGAAGGAGAAACAAGGTTAGACAATCCACTTCCAATGGGAACAGCTCAGGGCAGCTAAGTAAAGTGGGCCAAGAGCACCAGCTATAAGCAAAGGGCTCCATACAGCTTGATTTGTAATAAATCATTCAGTTGGAAAGCTCTGAGCATCTTTGATGAGAGCAAAAAAAACTTCAGGGAGCAGCCAGACACCCTATAGCTATCCATGATCTATGTGTATGTACTCCTTTCACAACTGGCTGGAAGATAATCCAACATCAAGTCACCCCAGAAAAAAACCTTCACAGGCATGGCATTTATGTTGCGCTTAGCAATTAACTTGGAAAAGCCAGTGACTGTTTCAAAAGATACCTGATGCCTCTTCAGCATATCCAGTCCTAGAAGCATGTCCATGGGCTGCTCTTCAAGGATTGAGAAGGAGCATGCCAGGAAATCACCTTCAATCTGGACCTGAGCTGAAACGCAAGGGAGAGAAGTTACCTTGCAACGCTACAGTGCAACGAATCTGCTTACTGTTCTTCCATCTCCTGGGAAAGGTCTGCACAAACCTGCTGGGTAAATCTGAAACCAGAGCTCGGACCTACTGATCTGGTCACAGAAAGTCCAGCCTTGTGCAAGCCCCATGGACTATCGGGCCTGTCTTGGTCTCAGGTAGTTAGTTATTTTAAAAGCTGACCTGCTCTAGAGCCCTAAATACTGCTTATCTAACCCTCCAAGCTAGAGGAGCTGCATACATACAGAGCACAAGTCTAAGAAGAAACAACAGTGAAAAGAATCGATTTTTCAGACAATAAGGACAATCTTCTCTCATCCAGAAAACCTGTGCAAGAGCACAGAGACCCTTCTCCTCCCAGAGGAACAGTCCCACCCCAAGCAGAAAAGATCCTGCTACGTCACATTAGCCCCGTTTTTTGCACGTGGAGTGAACACATTCTCTGAGCTGAGGACTCCCTCACCTAGAAGTGTTAAGGCAATTCCATTAAAAAAGCATTAAATGAGACAGAAGCCAGACTACTGTGACTGAGACAAATAACATATTGCAGATGCACTTTTCTTTTACTCTGTGGGAATTTCTAACGATTATAGCATTAAACCAGATACTCCTCAGTGCCAAGATTGCGGGAAATGCAGTCAAACTGCTGCTAAAGCTGCCCCAAGAAGAATGCCAGTACTTACCTAAGTGCACTCTGCCAATTATTTTCTGCGTCCCTACACCTTTAGCAATGCCAGCCCACCGCCGATCTACCAGCCTCATTATGTTGCACCTTTCAGCACAAGCTTGGCTCATGATGGTCATCTGGGCACCTACCAGCAAAAGAATTGGTGTTAAATCCTGAGAGCTCATCACAAATTAAAATTCTCTCCTGGAAGAGCTTAAGACCTTGCACTCAGCAGCCGGGAAACCAACCCGCCTGCATCAGGGAACTGCATTAGGGCACAAAAGCTTCCTGTGAATCCCACTGCACTGAATTGACTGTATGCAAGCAGACCAGCACTGACAGTAAAGTATGTATTACTGTAGAGCTGGAATAACCCCAAGTACCTTCCCTCTAAGGCTGTGGATGGGAAACACTGCATTAACGGCATGCGAAATACCCCCATCTGTAAAATGAGGTAAGACACACACGTGGCAGTGACCCTTCTGGCATCGCAGCCCCAGAAATTCTGACAGGAGCCTTGATCTGGGGTGTTCAAGCATGCGTGCATACTGTTTCTTGCAACAGTTTGCTCTGTTCGCCTTAAATAATGTCCAGACTGCTCTCAGGTTTTAATCGGGTGCTTCAAAATCTTGTAACGCAGTGCTTTATTATGGAATTTTTGGGCAAAAGATCTGGAGCGTTTACTGTCTCCCCCAGTGAGGGAAAGCAGAGTGCGGAGAAAGATATGAAAATGAAGGCAATTCACCCGAGTCAACAAAGGCTTTCACTGGATGTCCATTGACTTTGCAGTTAATATACAGCATCACCACCTGGCCAAAACTCTCGGGGGCCTCTTCCATTGCTATCGTCATATTTTCTTCAATGTTTTGTTGCCTGAATTCAATGGAGAAGAGAGAGAAAAAGCAGACCTTCCATCAGCAAGACCTTAAAAGCATCCCTCTGACTTACAAACAAATCTGGTAATCCCACTCACTGCAGTTCACGTTACAAGCAGCATGTTTAAACCACAGCAAAGACTGCTGCGTTAGCTAAACATAGGCTTCTTCGCAGGGGGATTGCTAGTAATGATCTTGGCTTAATCCAGAGACACCAAGTTGCTCCCCAAAGCCATGAAGATGGCTCCTTGCAACACCTTGCCTAACTCACATTACAGCACCAGATGACCTTCTGGTAGCGATGGAAACCTGTCACCACAGAGTTAACCTGCAGAACTTGTAAGCAAAAAACCTGCGTATTTATTAGTCACTCTAAAATAAAGCATTGAGGGCACACGATGAAGATGTTGCCAGTAGCTACAATGCTGGAATCCCACACAGCAGCTGAACATTAAAATCCTCCAATGTTTCCCTGGTATCTTTCCTTCCCAGGCGTAGGAAGGGAGGGCAGGGAATAAAACCACAGCAAGACCACCACCTTGAGCACAAGTCCTTGGTGCAAATTAAAGCCTGCAGAAGAAACGCTCTTCAAGAAGCCCATCACGGCCCCTATAGTAATGTTGGAAGTGATGGGTATTCTTAGCAATTGCATCCGAAATAGCTTTGTCGGGCTTCCAATTTTGATGCCATTTCACTTCTCCTCCTCAGTAGGGGAAGGGGAAAAACCCCCAAGCTCCTCTCTCACCCATCTTCTGTACTGTAGTAGCCTTCCCACAACAAGATGGGTAGACATGGTTTCTTGGTGGGAAAGGGAAACAGCTAATGGCATCCGAGACCTGGCTCGCTTGGGAGCTAAAGCACCCTGCGGCCAGTCTGTCCCGCTTCATATACTCGTGAAACAGAGACACGCATTGTCCTGTCTTTTACTATTTAAGCTTAAATCGGATCTACAGTGGTTAATCGCCAGCTTGTCTTCTTGTCAAATCCATTATTCCGTTTTCTCTGTGCTTGACACTCTCTCCACCTAAGATACACTTGAAGGCCAGAGACGTGTCTCAAAAAACCCCCAATGCTTGCAATAGTTTCCAATCAGTCTTGGGCAGAGTGCATCTAATTAAGCAAGGCGTTCAGAAAAACTAAGTGGGGTGTGAAATCTGGGGACTGCTAGATGCCCAAACTGTTCTCTAACAGCTGCACAGCCTTGGACACATCACCTTTATCTGTCCCCTTATCTATGGAAGAAGGAAAACGTTCCTGTGCCTCTGAGCAATGTTTTGCTATCTACAAATGTGTATTCTTCTGCATTGCTAAGCTAAGGATTTATCCGGCACCAGCACCTTGTCAGTTGTAACACAAGAATGACTCTTATCAGAAATGAATTTTGGTTATGACCAGCTATGAGCCTCTATCACAAAGACATTTCTTTATTGGGAAAAAAACACATCAGTCATGTTCTGACTCAAGGATTTATCACTCAATTTAAGAAATCAAGCCTCAGCCCACTGCAATTACATTTGGAAGACTGCAAGAGGGAGCGAGCGCTGATCAGCAGAACATCATTTCTACAGACCGTCTCTTCTGACAGCAGTGATGCTCAGAGTCTGGAATTAGCCAGAGAGACAAAACAATTAGCAGTACATGAAACCAAATCTTGAAGGCCACTGGGAGAAATGACGCCACATTGCTGTGCAGAGAGCTCAGCTTAGAGTAACACGGGCCCAGCTCTCCGGTTCAAAACATGCCTGAGAGACCCAAGTGCCACCTCTCAAGAGGATCTTGGCTAAGTGCTTTCCAGAAGTGCTCTTGTTTCAGAGTCACCAGCTTAGACACCCAGCTTAGACAGCTCCGGGACATCACACACATGGACAGCGGTGCTGCCACCTCATGATCCGTGCTCAACTGGATACATCTAGAGGATGGGGTGTGCCTACATGTCCCCGATTCCCAACCTTCCCACATGCAAAGGTGGCTCAGAGCATTGCCCCTTCCAACCCAAAGATTCTATGATTCTATGATTGCCCTGCACGCATCTTAAGGCAGGATCTCCACACACTCCTTGCATCCTCCAAGGAAAAAGCAGCATGGATGGAAGCATCCTGTGGAAAAAAGCACCATGAAGACGTCCAAAGCCTGCAAGCGACTTTGGTTTGCTACCTTATGTCTTCTTCTATCTTGGCCTGTGCCTCGAGATCAAAAGGGTCAGCTGAATAGAGTCGGATCCTCTCTTGCTCCCGCCGGGCTCGGTCCTGCTGCTGCTCCAGCAACACCCTGGTGAACTTCTCTGCAGTAACAAGGAGATAAAGAAATGCTTTTTACTGGAAATTACTCTTACAAGTCAAGTTCTGGCACAGCAAACTCTTCTTTTTATGCCAGCATGCACTCAGGGGTAGACTCAGCAGCACAGGCACAAAAGGTTTCATCTGAAGGCAATGTGGATGGACCTCAAAGGATCGGTGGCAAACTTGGGAACCCACTGAGGTGAAAAGTGACTGGACAGAGCTCCTTCTCCTTGTGCCTGCTACCCAAACTCAGCACAATCAAACTCAATTTTCCTTGGGCATACATTTTTATATGGAAGAAAAATGGAAAAAACATGAAGACAACAATATTTAAAACAAAAGAGCTGCCATTAAAAGAAGAATTCATTCTTCTATTGCAGCAAGAACTGCCTACAATACTCCAAAAACACCAGCTGCAAAACCAGCAGATAAATGAGACCTGAAGCAGAAAGCAGGACTACAGAACTTGCACAATTCTAACGAGAAGCTTGGGTGCACGTGTATTTTGAAAAAGCTTCAGACAGAGACAGAAGCGAGATTTTATAGCTGTCAGTAAGGTGGCCCATCTACACGAACAGTTTGCAAAATCTGTCACGTTTTACACTCAGCTATCCCCAGTAAAATAAGTCTGTAGATCCAGCAAAGAGCAAACACAAAATTATAAGACATAAAGAAGCTAACAACAAAACTTACTCTAAACCCAAGCAACGCAGGCAAAGACAGAGACATCAGAATCCCTAAAGCTGAATGCCTACCACTGAAATCAAGAGGTCCTAGGGAGGACACCTGCTTCACAAAGCTGCACGTTTTAAGGACACAGATTTTGGATCCCCACTTTTCTGGATGGCCTCTGGCTATTTGTTACAACTTGAATGCGATCACGTACGCTCCCAAAAGGACTTGGCAATAAATTAAGTTCTGTAAAAACAGAAGGTTGTGGGTTTACTTCCAGAAATGCAGTTCCCATGAAGGTGTGCTCTGGCTCAAAAGCTGTTTCATGTTCAGAAAGACACTGGATAAGTTTTCTTGTTTGTTTGTTTGTTTTTTAAATTAGGCTTCTAATAGCAGGTGTCTTCTGAAGTGCTTGCAGTGCAGTCACATGGCACGTATCTATATGTATATTTGGGCATCAGAGCCACAGCCAAACTGGATCTGTGCCCAGACACCGACAGTAGCAGTACAGAACGCTGAGAGCACAACCAGATCAAACCACTTCCTTCTGACATCCCGCTGCGGCGATTTGGGACTAAAAATGCACACCTGAATCCAAGTTTAATGTGCACAAGACAAGACAGATAGCAGATGAGGCCGTTCTGGGTGTCTTGGGCTTAATCTCTCATTTCCTGTGCCAACAGCAGCACATTTTCTCAAGGTGATGGGAGAAACTTCTCTCCTGCACTACAGACGCAGCACTCGCAAGAAGTATGAAGAAGCTTGAGAGCGCAAAGGACATGGTTTTGCTCACTCATATCCAGAGTTAGAAGGAAAAATTAAAAAATTAAATATCCATGCAAGATGCTTTCTAGATTCCTCTGACTGAGAGGACATCCCTGACACTAGGATGTAACCTGGCAAGTGGAAAAAAGTCTCCTGCTAGAAGCTCCTCCTCTTCATTCATTTCCCCAAACTCAACAGGATTTGTTTCCTAACTAAACATCTTGCAGAGGTTTAGAAGCACATCTTCTGATGCCCAAACACCGCTCTGGTTTCATACTGAAAGGACACCAGAGTTCAAAGCTTTCATCACATGAAGAATGAGGGACCGACATCAGCTACTCACCTGCAGAGGAAGTGAAGGACACTGTAGGCCTCCACTGTGCCCAAAATACGTGAATGCTTTCGGGATTAACAGAGACTTAAATGCTTATGACTATTCCTTACTGGAAAAGCTCCCTAAAGCCACCATTTACTTGTTCCTTTTCCTCTCCTTTTCTGACTTCCACTTCCATAGCAGCTAACCATTACAGACAGAGTTGGTTTTATAGCGTACTACTGAGGTCTCAGTGCGCTCTGCGATGAAGCAAACGCAACACCATTACTGGGAAACGTGCATTCAGAGAGTCTTAGCATAAAAATCGTGAGCTGAGCCACTTGTCTTCACAGAAACTCGTCTTATCCACACATCTGGTATTTCAAAGTAGGGGATAGAGGATATTAAAGAAGCCAAGCAGGAGAAATATGCCCAACTTGACAGAAATGGTCTTGTCAGAGAGTGGAACTCTGCCTGCAGTACTCCCAACTGGCACCTTTTATCAGCATCATCAAGGAGTTGGCAGCGAACATCCCAGCTAGTTAAAAACTTGTGGCTGCCTTTTATTAAAACTGAGCTCAAACAGGTTTAAAACCACCTCCCACAGATTAAAAACCCAACTTACCGAGGTCTCCACTGAGCAACGCCTCCGCCAAGGGTGGATTGCGCTCCTTCAGCAGGGACAGCTCGTGGGGATTCGCAAGCAACATCTCCCGTAGCAGTGCCGGATTGTCCAAACCCTGAGGGAACGAAGGTGCATCGGGAGGCGACGGGCGAAGGCGCTGTGCTGGCGGTTGGTGCTGCTGAGTGGATGTCCCAGGAACCGCGATGCTGCTAAAGTCTATCCTCGGCAGACCTTGAGGGAAAAAGAGGTCAGAGGCATCGGTGCTCCATGTTTACAATTCTGCTTGAAAAATGCAGTGGAAAAACTGCGGGAAGGATGAGCTGCTCTTAATGCTACAGTATTAAACCGGATTCTGAGAACAGCAATTCGTGTCAGAAGCACAGCCACGTACTCGGGTTACTGGGTTAGGAATGCTAGCACGTATTTATGTAACTTGTCTAGCTCTCTATCTGGCCCATTTTTTTATCCCCTGAAATGCACTTACTGAATCACAGACTAGTTACTTCCAGCTTCACAAATGCGAATACCACACAGAGGGATGGCAAGACTAAACCCAGTGTCTTTAAGGCACTTCTGAATCTCTCGGATTAAAAATATAAAAACCAGGGGGTGGAAAAAAAAAAGGTAACATTTCTGCAGACCTGCATTGCAGGTACCAATCCTCCAGCTGAGGCAGGAGGATGAAGACCTCAAGCAACGCTCCCACGCCCTTCTCAGCCGGCAGTACCTTCTTTTCCAGTGATATTTTATGACTGGGCTTTGTTAGGAATCGCTGCAGAAGGCAGGACAGAGGAGCAGGGCTACGCTCAGACGTTATCCGAGCAGTCTTTCAGGTGCATGCATGACTGTGTAACTGGGTTTGTTAAGATGCGGCTTCTCTGGGTATTTGTCACAGTACAGATTCAGAGTGCACATCGCAACAGCCTTTTAATGTGTCAGAGCCGCACAGACCACGTATTATTGCGCCATTACACCAAGCTGGAAGGGAACCGGCTGTCGTATGAAAATTCACAGGCCTTTACAAAAGCTGCTGTTCTCAACCAATTACCTTCCTCGCTTTCTCTGTCTTTCCCCAAAAGAACGTAAACCGGTATTCGCTTCCTTAGAATAAAAAGCCTACATTAAATAAAAAGTCCTTTAGCAAATTTTAAAAGACCCCCGCCTCACCCCTAGCCACCCTCCTTCCTAAACGTTTTCCCTAGCGAGGTACTAAAGGAGACTGACGTGAGATGGAGTTGGTGTTTGATGTACATTGAGATCTTTGGATGCTCTGAGCAAAAGTCAGCACAAATCCTTTCTCACCTGGGAAACGGATGGAGGGCCGTGGCTCCACGGTCTCTTTCTGTCGCAAAATCACCACGTCCCCGTCTTTCAAGCCATAGGAGGCCAGAGATCTGTTGTTGTCAGTTAGAGGCCGCTCGGCATAGACTATCTGTTCATGGAAAGAGTGCAATGAAAAACACTGCGCATGACAAAGCAGACATCATCTTGCCTCTTTTTTTGATTTTTATTTTGTCAGGAAAGCGTTCCAGTAAATCCTCTGGACCCATCTCAAACTTCAGAAGGGAAGGTGCGCAGTTCTCGTCACGGGCATGGGCAGGCCCTGCCAAAGCACCTCTACCTCAGGCACAGAAAGACCTCAACAAATAAGCAGCTGGATGACGAGACAGAGTTGGTCTTACTGAAACCTGGCAGTGGTTCCTCGAAACCCAGCATCTCGGACAAGGGCTGGTCTCTCTTAATTAGAGGCCAAGATTTTTAAAGGAAAGCAAGCCTTTCACCAGGGCTGTTTGCCACCCATTTCCAAAATCCAGTCCCTACGATTACTCAAGTCACAGCTGTCTTCTACAGCATCATCTCCCCTCAAGTCAGCACCTATTGACCACGGACCAACCACACACATGCAGGCAGCGTCGATCCGGGTAGATCCTCGGATGATGCAGTCCAGTATCTATGATCTCTGCCTTTTCCCACAACACGGTTCCCCAGAATAACCAGTTTTAGAGGGACCTCAACATTTAGCTCAGTGATTTCCAGCTTACTTCAGCAATGTAACTCTATCCAGACTCAAAGGTTCAGCACCCAAAGATACCATGCCCGAGACTGCAATCAGGCTGTAGTGGGGAATTAGTTTCTTTTGACTATAAAACACAAAGTCACCTCATTTTCTATTATGATAATCCAACTTAACAAGGGGTCTGCAGGTTAAACATAAAAAGTATTGAGATAAAAATGAATAATCGCTATGGGAACATTTCTATTAACATTAGATCTGTAATACCTACAAATGTCCTAAATTATAGGGAGGCAAGACAAATAAAATAAAGATGTGCTTTATGAGAACAAAAGTTCCCAGAAACAGTATCTGCTAAACGTTAAGGATTCCGCGCCTTCATCAGAGCACAATGAGACTGGGCAGATCGGTTCAACAGCCGCCTACCCCTGGCAGGAGTCCAAAGCAAGAAGCGCTGGAGAACTCGGCCTAAACCCGTCGGGCACACGATCGAATTTCACGTTTACCACCTAGTTTAGCAAGACCGCGTCTCTCTTGGTCTGG